GCGGGTCTCGAACCCGCGGGCTCAGGCAATCCACTCACCTCAGCCTCCCAAAGTGCAGGATTACAGGCTGAGCCACAGAGCCCGGCTCAAAACTCTCTTAGTTATATACTCATCTATTTAACAATTATCTGTTCAGGGCCTGTTTTGTGCTAGGAACTGTTGTAGGTGCTTGGGATACATGTGTAAGACAAAGCTTCTGCCCTCAAAATGTATACACTAGTGGGCAAGACAGACCGTAATAAAACAAACGTACTATGTCAAGTATCAGTATGGTGAAGACAACATACATACATACCCTCTCAAGTACAAGCTTAAGGGTTGGAGCCACATCTTATTAAAAGATTTTTGCAGGCTGGGTGCAGTGGCTCAAGCCCATAATCCCAGCACTTTGGGAGGCCAAGGCAAGAGGATTGCCTGAGCCCACGGGTTCGAGACCAGCCTTGGCAATTTGGTGAGACCTTGTCTTTGCAAAAAAAAAAAAAAACAGCCACGCAGTGGTAGCACGTGCCTGTAATTCCAGCTACTTGGAAGGCTGAGGCAGAAGGATTGCCTGAGCCAGCAGGTCGAGGCTGCAGTGGCCATGAGCGTGCTACTGCACTCCAGCCTGGGTGATAGAGACTCCAACTAAAAAAAAAAAAAAAAGACATTTGTTGTCCTCACAAACACCTTATAGTCATGGGTGCTTGATATTTTTGGATAAGTACTAGAGATTTTCAATACTGTCAAATGTTAGATTGCTAGAGTAACAAAACTACATCCAAATTTAATAAATCGAAATCTTTTGTGCTGTGTTGAGTTCTGTGAAGGTTGAAGAGAAGATAACGTTGACCTGTCAAATGGCAAAAAGTTTTTTTCTGACCAAATATGCCTATTTGGTTGTCTGGGTGCTAAGAGTACAGCTCTGAGCTGGAGTCCTGAGTCCAAATGATGACCCTGCTAATACTTTAGCCTTAGTTACACAAACATAAGATAGGGCAAATACAAGTACCTATTGTATAGGGCTGTTAATGAGATGTAAATGAGTTCCTGGGACATAGTGCAGCTGATCCTTGAACAACACAGGTTTGAATCACACAGGGCTACTTCTATGTGAATTTTCTTCTACTTCTGCCACCCTGAGACACTCTGAGACAGCGAGACAACCCCTCCTCTTTAGACTACTTAATGTGAAGATGACAAGGATGAAAGCCTTTATGATGGTCCACTTCCACTTAATATTTTCTTATGTTTTCTTAATAACATTTTCTTTCCTCTAGTTTACTTTACTGTAATACTATGGTATATAATACATGTAACACAAAATATATGTTAATGGACTGTTTATGTTATTGGTAAGGTTTCCAGTCAATACGAGGCTATTAGGAGTTAAGTTTTTGAGGAGTCAAAAGTTATATTCAATTTTCTTTTTCTTTTTAAGGTGGAATCTCACTCTGTCACTCAGGCTGGTGTGCAGTGGCATGCTTACAGCCACTGCAGCCTCGACCTGCTGGGCTCAGGTGATCCTTCTGTCTCAGCCTTCCAAGTAGCTGGAACTACAGGCATGTGCCACCACACCCGGCTAATTTTTTGATTTATTGTAGAGATGAGGTCTTGCCAAGTTGCCCAGGCTCGTCTCGAACCCATGGGTTCAGGCAGTCCTCTCACCTCAGCCTCTCAAAGTGCTGGGATTATAGGCGTGAGCCACTGTGCCCGGCCATATTCAGATTTTCAACTGTGGGGGGGGGTGCCCCAATGCCCATGTTGTTCAAAGGTCAATTGTAAGTACTTAATTATATTAGCTATTATGTTATTATGAGATAGGAATATGCTTGACTTAAATATTTTTGGACACTTCTGTGAGAATATAGGCATTTCAGGAAGCTTCTGAAAGAGAAGCAAATAGTTTACCACAAAGATCTTTAAAAAAAAAATGACAATCTGATAATTGAAGAAAATGAACATTTGATAAGAATTTAAAGAATCCAGATAAGATCCAAATTTTCCTCCAAACAGATTTATTTAATATAACAAAATTTTATATACAAAGTGACCTCGACCTGCTGCTTCAAAACATGATCCTTTCTTATTAATATCCTGATAGGTCTGTCTATAGAATGTTATAAAGCAACTTACTCTGAAATAAATAGAGAAGTACCTGATGCATATTAAATAAATGGCCCAACTACTGGAACTTTAGTAGTTCTGTAAGATAATTAACATAGGTAGGATTGCGTCCCTATGGCAGGATGCTGGAGAACTGATAGATCAAGAGGCCATTTTGTGCACTGCCACTGTGATGCCATCATGTTTCTGGATCATAATGTTCCTGAAAGGCAGAGAGGAAAGCATTTAGTAAAACATTACAAGTGAGACATCAGTGTAACATTATAAAGTTGTTGTTTGATTTAGAACACAGTTTTTAAAATAATATTTTTCTGTGTAACAAAAGCAATATATGAATACAACGAAACATTTGGAAAATACAGAAAAGTAGAAATAAAAACAAAAAGAATCCTTTTTTTTTTCTTTTTTGAGGTGGAGTCTCATTCTGTCACCCAGACTGGAGTGCAGTGACACAATCACAGCTGTCGCAGCCTCAATCTGCTGGGTTCTGGTGATTCTTCCACCTCAGTCTTCCAAGTAGCTGAGACTACAGGAGCATGCCACCACATCCAGCTATTTTTTAATTTATTGCAGAGAAAAAGTCTCGCCATGTTGCCCAGGCTGGTCTCAAATTCCTGGGCTTAGGCAATTTTCTCGCCTCAGCCGCCCTAAGGGCTGGCATTAGAGACATGAGCCACCACACTGGCCATTAAAGGAAAACTTGATTCTACCACTCACAGAAAACGACTGTTAACAGTTTCCCAGTTCTTTCCTGCCTCAGCCTCCCAAGTAGCTGGGACTACAGGCTTCCTGGCTCTTTTTTTATTCATATGTATACTATAAAGTCATACACCACATAATGATGTTTTAGTCAACAATAGATCACATATATGATAGTGGTCCCACAAGATTCCAACAGAGCTGAAAAATTCCTATCACTTAGTGACTTTGTACCATCCTAATGTCATAGCACAACACATTATTCACATGTTTATGGTGATGCTAGTGTAAACAAAGCTGCGCTGTCAGCTGTATACAAGTATATTGCATACAATCATGTGCAGTACATAATACTTGATAATAAACAACTATGTTACTGGCTTATGTATTTACTATACTTTTTGTTGTTATCTTAGAGTGTACTACTACTATTTATATAACTAAGTTAATTGTAAAACAGCCTCAGGCAGGTCCTTCCAGGAGGTATTCTAGAAGAAGGCATCGTGATCACAGGAGATGAGAGTCATGTGTGTTACGACACCTGAAGACCTTCCAGTGCAACAAGATGTGGAGGTAGAAGACAGTGATACTGATGATCCTGACCCTGTGTAGGCATAGGCTAATGTGTGTTTTAGTTTTTAACAAAACTAATAAAATGTTTTAAAAAGAAAAAAAGCTTTTAAAGATATAAAAAAAAATTTTTTGTACAGCTGTACAATGTGTTTGTATTTTAAACTAAGTGTTATTACAAGAGTCAGAAAGTTGAATTAAAAAGTTTATATGCCTGTAGTTCCAGCTACTTGGAAGGCTGAGGCAGAAGGATCGCCTGAGCCCAGCAGTTCGAGGCTATGGTGGCCAGTAGTATGCCACTGCACTCCAGTCTGGGCAACAGAGTGAGATTCCAACTAAAAACAAAAAACAAAAAAAAGGTTTATAAAGTCATAGAAAGCTAAGATTATTGTTAAGGAAAGAAAAAAAAAATTTTTTTTTTTTTTTGAGAGTCTTACTCTGTCACTCAGACTAAAGTGCAGTGGCCACTCCGGGCCACTGCAGCCTCGACCTGCTGGGCTCCGGTGATCCTTCTGCCTCAGCCTTCCAAGTAGCTGGAATTACAGGCGCCCACTACCACGCCCAGCTGATTTTTTATTTATTGTAGAGATGAGGTCTTGCCAAGTTGCCCAGGCGGGTCTCGAACCCGTAGGCTCAGACAATTCACTCACCTTGGCCTCCCAAAGCGCTGGGATTACAGGCTGAGCCAGCCTAAAAAAAGTTTTTTAAAAGGTCAAGTGCAGTGGCTCACACCTGTAATCCCAGCACTTTGGGAAGCCAAGGCAGGAGGTGGCTTGAGCCCAGGGGTTTGAGACTACCCTGGACAACATAAGCAAGACCTTGTTCCTACAAAAAAAATAAGACAATTAGCTGGGCATGGTGGTGTGTGCCTGTAGTCTCAGCTATTTGGAAGGCTGAGGTGGAAGGATTGCCTGAGCCCAGAAGGTTGAGGCTGTGGTGAGCTGTGATCGTGCCACAGCACTCCAACCTGGACAACAGAGTGAGACCCCAACTCAAAAAGAAAAAAATTAAATAGCTTTAGCATAAGCGTAGTGTTGATAAAGCTGCAGTAGTGGACAGGAAGGTCCCAGGCCTTCACATTCACCCACTACTCACTCATTGACTCACCCAGAGCAACTTACAGTCCTGCAAGCTCCAGTTACGGTAAGGACTATTCAGGTATACCCTTTTAAAAAATCTTTTTTTTTTTTTTTTTTTGAGCTGGAGTCTCACTCTGTTGCCCAGACTGGAATGCAACGGTGTGCCCATGGCCAGTGCAGTCTCGACCTGCTGGGCTCAGGTGATTCTTCCGCCTCAGCCTTCCAAGTGGCTGGAACTATAGGCATGTGTCACCACACCCAGCTACAGAAAATCTTTTACATCATATTTTTACAATACCTCTTCTGTATTTAGATATGTTTAGATACACTAACACCACTGTGTTACAACTGCCTACAGTGTTCATGCCGTACATGCTTGTAGCCTAGGAAAAAGAGGCCACACCATGTAGCCTGTGTGTATAGCAGCTACACTGACTAGGTCTGTATAAGTGCACTCCATGTCTGCACAACAACGGTATTGCTTGAGGCGTTTCTCGGAACATACCCCATCGTTAAACAATGAACAACTGTATATACTTTTTAAAGTTTTTACAAACTGCTCAAACTGTGCAATTTTATATTCTGATTTTTTTCACTTAATATTATTTTGAGGGCCCTCATTTGGATTATCTTTAGTATTTCTATTACTTTAGAAGTAAGTTTTATTCTGATTCCTTTGTATTATTTATTACTTTTTTTTCCTTGATAGTTCATGACAATTCTTACTCATTTAAATGACATTGTGGTCTAAAAGCACATTAGCCTTCGAGATCAATTAATCTGCTCCTGTGGTCCCAAAGGATGAAGAAGCTTCCCCAAAGTACCCTGAGTAAGGAATCACTGACGAACACAGGGCAGGCCCCAGTCGAGTTTACCAGGAATTTTTCTGAACAAAAAAATTAAGGGAGCTGCTGAAACGTACTCACCCATTATCTGATTCCAGACACACCACAGGAATATCAGTGGGGTCAGAGGTTAGCTTAGCAGCTTGTTGGGCTAGAACAGAAATCACTCCAGCATGCTCATCTGACAGGGTCCCACGGCCTGGAAAACAGACAGTATAATGTCACTCAATTGTCTCAAAATGAGCACAGAACTGTAGCAGTACCTCTCATTGAATTATTCACACAAAGAAGGTTCAGTTCATGGTGTCTCAAGTTAGGTACTGATGTGAAATGATTTTTCCCAGACACCTAGCTAGTTAAGTCAGCCAGACAACAGTTCTTAAGTCAATAAAGGCATAACTAACACTCAGATTTTCAAAGTCATTTCAATCACCATCTCTAAATACCTTCTCAAGCATATAAGGAACCTGTAATTGAAGTCAGTCTGAAAGTCATATAGGAACTTTACTGAAACCAGCAAATTCAGAGGTGAAACTGACAAAAAGCGGTCAATAAGGACAAGAAACTTGTTGAAACAAATTAATTCCTCATGGGAAATCTGATTTCCTTTTACTGAGCTCAACCTCAAAGGATATAAAAATCTTTACTCAGGAGTTTAGCTGTAAGATCACCTTGATAACCTATGTGAGTATTTCTGCTATGAAAAGCTAGCTGGCTGTTTTTCTTTTCTTTTTTTTGTTTTTTTTTGAGTTGGAGTCTCACTCCGTCACCCAGGCTGGTGTGCAGTGGCATACTCATGGTCACCCCAGCGACAACCTACTGGGCTCCGGCAATCCTTTCCCCCTAACCTTCCAGGTAGCCAGAACTACAGACACTCACTCCCACACCTGGCTAATTTCTTTTATTTATTGTAGAGACGAGGTCTTGCCAAGTTGCCCAGGTTGGTCTCGAACCAGCGGGCTCAAGCAGTCCACTCGCCTCAGTCTCCCAAAGTGCTGGGATTCCAGGCTGAGCTGCTGTTTTCAAATATAAAACAGAATTTTTTTTTATTAATGTTTGTGTTTGTCTGTGTATAGTAACTAAATCCTAGGTATAAAAAGTAATTACTAAGTTTACAATATATTTCCATATATAAATCAACACAAACTTAATTGTGCCTGCAACTAACTCAGGTGACAGATGTGCCACAAAGGCAGAGCCTATGGATTTACTATTATTATACAAAACATGTGGCTAGACACCATGCAGTCTTTGGGCCTTGAAATTTTTTTGTTTGTTTTTAAAGAAAGCAGAATTTATTTAGAGGACAGAAAAGCTCCCAGAGCAGGAGGGGGGGACCCAAAAGGGTTGCCTGAAGGTTTCTTAAAGAAACTCATTTAGCTTTAGATTTTCATACTTGAATTTCAGTCTTTCCATTAGTGAGCCTGGCAAATGCTTCAAAATTTTGCTTTTTTTCTCCCAATGACTGACTTGTATGTTAAACATAATTGAGTTACACAGATTACCTCTTTCAGTTTCCCTTCCAGCAAAAATCCAGAACTTTAAAAATTCCATCTAAGGAGCAAGAAATTTTTACTAATTGACATTAGTTAACTGAATGCTTCAGTTATTTATCTTTCTGGACTTAATTCCTCATCTGAAATGGCTATTATTTACTAAGCATTATGTTTGGGTTCTGTGCTGAGCGTTCTACACACATTATATAACCTTACAATATTGTGATAAAGAGGCCTTGGAGCCAGATGCAAATCCTAGCTCAACCACTTACTAGCTGTATTACCTTGGGTGTTATTTAATCTTTGTCCCTCAATTTCCTTATTGACTTTACAGTATTGTCATGAAGAATATATGAATTAGTATATGTAAAGCACTTAGAATGGTACCTGGCACATAACAGCTCAATAAATGTAATTATTACTATTATTATTATTCAGAAGAAATGTGAAGTAGAAAATGTGGCTCTGAAAGGTATGGTCAGAGTTCATCCTCTATCCAGGTGTATCCAATTCTGAAACCGGTTTTATTTCCTAGTCACTTACTGCTAAGTGTAGCTGGACTAAAAAATAGCACACCACACACCTTGCATGGTTGCTGTGAATGTTAGATACGATGTATTTAAAGGCTAGGGTCCCAGCATATGCATTCAATAAATGGTACCAGTTGTTGTTGTTCGATAACTCAATTTAAAATGATTCAAATAGTACTTTAGTAGAGACAACTATTTAGGACTAGATAAGCAAGGAACATTTCTACTCTCGTAAATACCAATGGAAGAGTTTCAATTTTCTGATCTTGACAATCTCCAGTCTCACAAAAGTAGCCAGAACTGGCAAGGTAACAGGGATTAAAAGAAAAACCAGAGAATAATCGAACACTAGACTCCAAGTCGACATCAGATGTGGTGTGATCCACCAAAGGGTTGCTATGAGAGATACTTACAACCTAGATTAAGTCCTTGCGAATCAGTGCACAGGACTCCCACAATGGATGGATTCTTCATTCTAATTCCAGGAACACAGGAGAGATGGAGCAGCCGATGGGAGGAAATGAGTTCAAATAATTACAACACATTCAGGCTTTCTATGCACCAGGCATTGTTCAGTGTTTTAAATCAGTGTTTCTCAACCTTTTTTCATTATTAACCCCCCCAAGAGAAAAGTTACGTTATGGTTAATTTAAATAATTAAGCACTTTCTCTTGGATGAGAGAAGAAATTGTGTCAAGTACTGCTGGGCTCTGGAGGACCGCAAACATTCCAGTATATTATAGAGTGTTTTCATGCACGTTAAACATGCATACCTCGGTATACCAACCCATTTAAAACAGCTGAAAAATTCTCAGTAACTGAGGTTCTCCCCCGAAGGGGAGACGGAAGCCGGGGGACGCAGGCGGGAGGAGGTGTCTCCCTGCACGCCTTCCGGTACTTCCCCAATTTTATTCTACAGAGATGTCACTCGTTTGAGAAACCCAAAGAATTCTTTCTTGCTCCTTAAGCACCAAGTAGCTGACAAATTACACGTAAGAGACGCGTCTGAGTTGGTTTGCGCGGCAGGGCTCGACTTTCAACACCTGGTACAGCCTCCCCAGAAGTTATCCCGTTTCCTAAAACTCCTGAAGAAGGACCCCGGCCGTATAGACGAGTCCAACAACGTGACAGGCGGTTCTGGCCTCCGCTTGGGCCCCGGAGACTCGCTCGGGGGGAACGTGCGGAGCTCAAGGGGATTTTAAATCCGGGCCCCCGGTCCTGCCCCGCGGGCCCCGGGCAGGGTTCCTCTCCTCATCCCGGGTCCCGGGGTCGTGCAGGGTCCTCAAGACCCCCGGCCAGCATTCAAAGCGGGCGCCCTCAAGTCCCACCGCCGCGACCTCGGGGCGGGTCGAGGAGCCCGCGCTACTCACGTGTCTTCCAAGTGCTGCTCCAAAGTCGCCTCCATCCCGTCCTCGGTCCAAACCGGCTCGGAACCCGGCGTCGCGACGCGTCCCGTCGCGTCCCCCTCCACCGCAGGCCTCAGTCACTTGACCCGAGCGGGGCGGGGCTTCGGACGGCGCCTCCGGAGGGACAAAACTTCCTCGCGCCGCCGTGCCCGCGTTCTCCCCCGGAAGACGTTGCTGCGCTTCCGTCGCGCGGAGCCAGAGAGATGGCGCCGGCCGCGGGGGCCTGCGGGCTGCAGACTCGAGCGCCGCGGGTTGTTCCTCATTCGGAGAGGTCTGCAGCCAGGCCTCAGCGCTCGGTTCCTGGCCTGGCGCCTTGTGTGACTGGAACCTTTGGACCCGGTTCAGCCGACTCCGGGACCGAGGGTCCGGATCTTAAATTTCCCGTCACCCGGCGAGTCAGGCCGGGCCGGATCTAGGCTGCGGGGCAGGTACGGAGGGGAGGGACAGGACCGCGGGGCAGGGCCACCCGGGCTTGTAGGGGAAGGACACGCACAGCGGGGACTCGGGTGGAGATGGAGCTAGGTGAAAACCCCAGGCCCGGTGTTGGTCAAGTGTCGGGATTTTAACGGAGACGCTGGCACTTACTATGGCCGGGGCTGGGGGACGTTTTGGGAAGAAGGTGTCATTTGAGCCCTAATGAAGACTGGGTAGGACAGCTGAACAATAACCGCCGAGGAGAGTGGATTGCCTGAGCCCGCAGGTTCGAAACCCGCCTGGGCAGGCGAGACCTCATCTCT